TGCCAAGGCAGAGTCACTTGGAACAAATCCACACACTCAGCCATCTGTCAGTCAAGAGACAGTTTGTTGTAACATCAATAGGAGTGGGCAAAGATCCTTTTTGGGGAACTTGCACACTGATGGGGGTGAATCGAGAACTTATATAGAAAAGGGGCATGGGAAAAGAATGCCAAGGATGCTGATTAGGCAATCTAAGGGTCCAGGTGTCTTTGGGGGCTATGGATGGGAAAGTGTAGGAAGCATACTAGACATTGAGGGAGTTGTCAGAGGCATGGACCTTGGGGGTTAGGGACAAAAATCCTTGGGCTAGGCACCCCTGTTTCTGCTCTGATAAGGCAATGTATTCTGCAACAAGAGCAAATTTTCTCACAGGACAAGGACCTACTAAGAAATTGGGAGGCTTCCAGAAACATCTTAGGGCTTTTTGGGGTCCAGGTTCCACCACCCCATGAGTTCCAGGGCCAACTCTCTATTATATCACCTTGCCTCTAAGAAATTAATAAATGAAGCAGAAAATATTCAGTGAATGAAAGGAAGACATTTTGGTTTCTTGAACCAGAAGTCATGATCATAAAATTTTAGAGACGAGACTTAAGGAGTCATCTAGTCCAATATTCCTGCTAAATCTGTCTACCCAAAGTATGAACCTCATTTTCAAGGGGTCATTCAGTCTCTACTTAAAGACCTCCAAATTTGAACTTTATCATTAAAAACTTTGTTTACATTTCAGGTTAAGATAGGGTAAACAGAATAAAACCCACAAGAGCAAACTTGATTTCTGGTGATCTTTTTAAAATAATTGTGATCAAAACATTAATTTCAACCAGATCAATTAAAAACAATAAGGACAAATAAGTTGAGCATTACAAGTGTGCTGATTTAGCATTTCCCCTTGTTTATATTTTGTCTTGATAAAAGAAATAAATGATCAGACTTTAAAGGAGTATGAAAAGATTTCTTTTCCTTCTTTTGCACCAGTTTTTTTCCTTGTCCAGTTGTACCTTTACATAGAATAAAGAATGATTTTGAAAAAGCAAGTGGGAAAAAAGCCTTGGCCTTCAGCCTCTTCAAATCTAACAGACTAATGATTCAAGAACTTCGTCCTCCAGACGGTATTGAAGTATTCCCCTGGTCCTGACATCTGTTGTCAGCTTCTTTTCTTCCCTAGTGATGTCTAGTGACCCAGAGGGGAGAGTCTTCATCCTTTCCCTACCAGAGCCTCAGCATAATTGGGAGCATAAACTATCTCTAGCAGATGCAATTTTATGAATACTGGGAAAGCATCAGGAAAATAACAGCCACTGAGGACACTAATTGTAGTGTGGTGGTTGTCATTATGGTTGCTAATATAAGGAGCAAAGAATTCTATAGAGGTGCTTAATTCTAAATAGCCAGAGCTATTTCTCTGGCAAATTCTCTATCTTACTTGGGTTGGAGTATCATATATTCCCCAAATAGTCCAAAACCGATCTTGTTCACTCATTGTGAACAGGAAAATACTTAATATAACCTTACATAAGGCAGGCATTCCTGTTAACTAATTCTGAGTATTACTTGCTTTTTACAATTGCACATTATTGTTGATCCATATTTAGTTTGTTTGTATTACGGTCTAGTGCTTCCATTGAAAAATCAGAATCCTCCTGTTTTGAACTGTTGGGTTATGTATAAGATTAGCTCAGATAGCTAATTCCATAGGTGTCAGTAGTGCCAGGCCAGGGGATCACTGGCCAGTGTAAAGAGCAAGGACCGGGGTAGTCTGTTAAAACCAAAAATATGTCAGAATGGGCCAGGAGTCAGCAGTATCTATCAATCAAGCAATGAATCACATGCTGATTTCCAAAGCTAAGACTTAGCAAAGAGGCAACAACAAATGCCAGGACTCAGGGAAGAGTAGATGTCTGAGAGCCTTAAAGATGTTCAAATTAGAAAGAGATCAGGCCCAAGCAGTTTGAACTCACAGGGGCAGGTAGACCAGTTAGTCTGTAATAGGTCACGGTAATAGTAGCAAGAATTTATTGTCAGCGTCAATAAGGCGGGATCACAGAAGCAGTCTTCTGCCCCTGCCCTGGCTTTTCTATGGATCCTGTGGTGCAGAAATTAGTCCTAAGAATATAGTCCTTGTAGACGGAAATAGGCAATAGGCTAACTAAGGTGGGAATTACACAGATAGAAAGTAGCAGTAGTTTCTGGTGAGTAAATCTCAACAACCTGAAGCAGTTTTGACCATAGAATTGTTTGGAACTCTGATCACAGAGTGTCTCCAATTAGCATGACTTTAAAGGGATGGGTTTTTTTTTCACAAGATAGACCCATAGAGACCTTCTGAGTCCATATTCACCACTGGAGTCATTTGGACTTGAGATTATCTCTGTCATCCAACTTTTTTCCTTTTTTTTTCTAAGACTTGTTCTCTGTATCTCACATAGGCTGGAAGTGCAACAGTCACTCATGAACCTAATCCCACTACTGATTGACACAAGCTTTGACTTGCATTTCTGTACTGGACTGATGACCTTCCATACCTTGAGGGTTCACCATATCGGTGTTGGATTTAATGCATACACCTGACGGGCTGGAGCCCATGGCATCTCAGAACTCCCCTCAGGCCCCAGGACCTACTTAAGTGGGTCCTTATCTCAACTCTGCTCCATTCTGGATTAGATGGACCCCAGAGGTAGCAGAGCTTTGTCAGACATGAACGTACAGACAGGGATTGAGTTTTGCTGACGATCTGTTGAGATCTGTCAGGATACGTTCCAGATCACTATTTAGCCCAGTTTGTAAAAGGCATGAAATGAACGATACTTTTGGCAAGTGCTTCATCAAAAGAAGATTGAACAAATTTCAGACTCCCCTACCTTTTTGATTCAGCTTTTACATTTGTGGGTATACCTAGTCCTTAGCTATTTTATATTAATGCCATTTGATGACCCAGTTTTCTTGATGTGTAGGGGAATGTTTGAAGGAATTTTTGAAAAAGCTTTGCTTGTATTTACATACTGGAGAAGAGAAGACTGTTAATCCCTAGTTTCACAAACATAGCACATGTATGCCATGCTTTTGTGGACCCTGGAGCATTGTGGGATCTGATGGGGTTAGGGGAAAGAACAGCAGTTGGGCCATATGATTTTCTGTGCTCTCAAGCAGGCTCCCATGGGGGAAAAGCTGTGTTCCTCCTAAGGGGATTATAGTTTTTCATGGTCTAGCCATCACAGACAATATACAAGTTTTTGGTGGCCTGTGTGTTTGAGTTGGCAGCGTGACATCCATTTCAGTATTTTAAAAATAAAGTACTATCTGGGATTCTGCTGTCAGCTGAAAGCTGGAAAGAGTTATAGCACTGTAGCTATTTCCTTTTAGTCTTTCTTCACTGGGAGAGATATAGTTGAGTTGCAGTCTGCACCCATGCAGCTGAGAACCTTGATGGAACTTGAAGGGTCTAACCCTTGCTTGTTTTTCCTCATCTCCCACTTCTTAGCTCCTTGCATGCTGGCTGCTGATCCCATTTCAAGACTGAAAATACAAGGCTAGAGATGCTGTCTTTTATTTTCCCTGACTTTTTGCTTGTTATTTAAATATGTTTTATTGATGCCTATTGTCTTTACATCAAGGATGTAAAAGCTTCCCCCTTCTTACTCATTTAAACCCCGTCTTGAGACAAAAACAGTTGAGCAGCAGGCCTCTACCTAAGATCATGTAAGATCTATTAGTGACAGTATACACAAGATTCTGTCTTAATACTTGCTCCCTCTCTTACCCCCCCTTACCCCTACACCCCCCCCCCAGCCACTGTCATTGGGGTGGTGAGGGACAGGCTGGATCTTTTAATTTTATGTCATTGGAGCTATTGTGTAAATTGTTCACTTGAATCAGATTATTTTCATGTGCATGACTTAATACAAATCTTCCAATGTTTCCCTGAGTTCCTCATATTTATCATTTCTTACTGTACAACAATATTCTATCATGTTCATTTGCCATATTTTTTCCTGCTATTCCCCAGGTAATGGGCACCAACTTTGTTTCTGGTTCTCTGTCAGAACAGAGTGCTGCTGTGAATATTTTGGTTTACATCCAGTTTTCGTCCCTAGTTTTTACTTCCTTGGGACATGTGTCCAGTAGAAGCAACTAGGTGGCACAGTGGAAAGAGGGCTAGGCCTGGAGTCATGAAGATTCATCTTCCTGAGTTCAAATCTGGCCTCAAACACTTATTAATTGTGTGACCCTGGGCAAGTCACTTAACCATGCTTGCCTCAGTTTCTTCATCTGTAAAATGAACTGGAGAAGGAAATGGCAAGCCACTGCAGTATCTTTACAAAGAAAACCCAAAATGGGGTCACGAAGAGTTAGACATGAGTAAAAGGAATGAACGACAAAATATGTTCAGAAGTAGGACGGCTGTATCCAAAAGTATGGATGTTATGTTATTTCTCTTTGAGGACAGATCTCCCTAACTCATTGAGGCTGGAAGTGGAGGGGACACTAATGGGCCTCATCCCTTTACTGACCAACAAGTAACCTCACAGATAAAATATAAATCTCTTAGCCCAGCATCTAAAACCTTACACACACTGGCTACTGCCTGCCTTTCCTGTCTTAGTTCATTGTTTTACTTCTTGCACGCTCCATTTCTAGTCACACAGGCCTTCTGGCTGTTTCCTGTGCACCTTGTTCTACCTTCCCTCTCCATGTCCTTTCATAGGTATGCCTTTCCAGGCCTAAAGTATTCTCCCTAGTTCCCTCTGGTGCCACCTCCTACCTGAGACCTTTGCTGATCCGTCTGGTTGTGGGCAGACCATCATTCTTGAAATAACTTCATTCTACTTGTATCTCCCGAGTAGAATGTAAGCTTCTTGAAGCCAGAGAGTTTCATTTGCCTTTGTGTTCATGATTCCTCACAGCGTATAGGCAGTTAACAAATGTTTGTTGAATCGAATTGAAATTATATGTGCCTAAGCCAGCAGGCTGCTTAACCTGTCATTTCTTTCTTTTTCCAGTTACCCTCATCTGTGGTAGAAGTATCTTTGACAACTTTTGTGTCCTTCACTGACATCACAAAGAAGCCAAAGATTACAGAGAGCCGGCTAGAAACAGAATGGATATTGCCATTCACCTCTTTTTTTCAGGGGGAATCAAGTGGAAAAATGGCATCTCTGAGAAGCTGGAGCACTCTTGTTGTCTTTCTGTGTGTGTTATTATCTGGCCTTCTCAGCTTAGAGATGAGCTGAAGAAAGGAGGAGAATCAGATTTTACTCTTCCCAGTGAGGGCTGTAAGATGGCCTTCCTGCTTATGCTACAGGAATGATTCCTGTTCATCATTATGACCAAGGAGAAATGTCTCCTTCAATTATGGGACAGGAGGGAAGGAGTCTTTGGGTATGGTGGCATTTCAGAAGAGAGGACAAAAATGCCTTCATCTTAATTATTTCTAGTAAAGCTGTAGATGAGTGGCAACAAGGCATAGTACATGGCTAGATCCTAGTCTGAAAGGACTTTAACCTCTTACCATGAATTGGCCCTGTGATCTCAGGCAGCTCTTGTGTCCTTCCTCCGCCCTCCGTAGCATTCTGTAGGTACGAGCTGCACAACAGTTGCTGATTTTCATTGGTATTGGAATTTTCCTACACCAATGAAAACTCGGGTCTGGACCAGGAAAACACAATTTAGCATAGACTTAAGCAGAGAGGAGTTAACTCTCCTTCTGAAGGAGAAAATAAGCTTCTAGGTACCCAAAGCCATATTCAAGTCATCTGTTACAGGAATAAGAACAAATTAAAATGTTTAACTGTCATGAAATACAAAAGGACTCAGTGTTCAGAACAGAGAAGTATTGACACCCCATCTTGGCTCCATTCTAGGCTATACTTTTTTGCTAATACAAAAATGAGAAAAGTAATTCTCTTTCTGTTTTTGCAGTGTCTCTGGAGAATACTCTTAGTTCACTTTTTCAGCAGTTAAGAGCTGTATAAGTGATTTAGTATTTGGTGTTGCACTAATTCCCAGGAAAAAACTATTAAGTTTAAGTTTGAATCCTGCATCTACTCCTTATTAACTAATTATCTTTGTTATCTTGGGCAAGTCATTTAACCTATCTAAACTGTAGTTTCCATATCTTTAAAATGAAAAAGACTGAAATAGGTGACTTCTCATGCCCTCGCTCTAAAATCTATGTTCCTTTGATTTCTAAAGTTGACCTCATCATCTCAAATGGAAAGTGCCCTGGGATCTGTACTTGGTTCTTGGCCATTTAGCATTTTTTGTCAATTACTTGGATAAAGTCATAGATGGCATGCTTACCAGATTTTCAGTTTGCATAAATCTTGGAGAAAAACTAACATATTAGATGATTGAGTCAGGATCCAAGAAGATCTTGAAAGCCTAAAACATTGGACCACATCTAATAAAATGAAATTTGATAGGGCTAAATTAAAATTTTACCTGAATCAAAAAAAAAACAACCAACCTCAGCCCCACAACTAGCTTTATAAGATGTGGGAGACATTACTAGAGACCAGTGTATTTATAATTTAAAAAAAAAGCAAATGAGGATCCAGCAAGAGAAATTTCATTCAAAATAGCTTAAAAAATGCATAAAATATCTAGGAATTAACCAACAAGACAAAATTAATATTTATAGAAATGAAACTCAGTATGAGTCAATGGTGTACGTAATATGGCAGCTTCTCCCCCCCCCCCCCCCACCCCCCCAAAAAAACAACATAGCTAATACCATCTTAGGCTTCCTTAAGAGAGTCATGGCTTCCAAAAATAAGCGTATGTGGAAATGCCTTTTTTTGGCACTTAAATTTAGAATAAACCCAATATTTTTTAAACTACTTGATGTTCATTTTTTCCCCTATTTTTCTTTCTACATCTGTTGACTTTATTTGCTCATCTTCCATTTACTTTTCTCAACCCCTTTGCAGTCTGACTTCTGTCCCCACCATTCAGCTGAAATTTTTCTCTTTAATGTCACCAAAGAACTCTTCCTTTGACTTTTCCTTAGTGCTCAACCTTTTGGATCTCTCTGCAGTTTTTGACACTGTTGACCATGTCCTTGAAAACTCTTTCCTTTCTGTTTATGAAGTAGTTAAGGATAATGCTGAGGTTATGAACTTAGGAGACTAGAAGAATGGTGGTGCCTTTGACAAAAAGGGGAAGAACAGTGGGTTTAGGAGGAAATATGATGAACTCTGCTTTCTGTGTGGTGTTTGAAATGTCTCCAGGTCATCTAGTTTTAAATGTCTAATAGCTAATTGGTATACTGCTGTGTATAATAGAAAAATAAGTTATCTGCACAGAGATAATATTAAATCCATGGGAGATAATGAGGTCACCTAGAGAGAGTAGAGAGAGAAAAGGGCCCAAGAAAGAGCCTTAGGAAATAGCCACAGTTACAGGTCATGGTAAGGATAAGCCAGCAAATGAAACCAAGAGCAACCTGACAGGAGACCTGGGACCAAATAGTGTCACAGAAACCCAGAGAAGAGAGTAGTCTGGAGGAGAGAGATATCAACAGTAACAAATGACTCTAGAAAAAGTGGAAAAGAAAAAAAAGGGGCAGCTAGATGGCTCAGTGGATAGAGCACTGGCCCTGGAGTCAGGAGGACCTGAGTTCAAATCTGGCCTCAGACACATGACACTAGCTGTATGACCCTGGGCAAGTTACTTAACCCCGATTGCCTGATCAAAAAAAGCAAAATAAATAAATAAAAGAAAAAGTTGACAAGGATGAGGTCTTAAGAAAAGACTGAATTTATCAATTAAGAGATCATGGGGGAAAGACGAGCCAAGATAGTGAAGAAAAGGCAGATTCTTCTGAGGTCTCCCCAAAACCCCTCCAAACAACTTTAATGCCCCCCCCCAAATTATGGAGAAACAGAACCCACAAAAGGATGAGGTGAAATAATTTTTCAGTCCAAAACAACTTAGAAAGTCAGCAGAAAAGGTTTATTGCACTGAGGTGAGAGTGGAGCCCAGCAAACCAGCAGTAGGCTTGAGGGTGACTGAATCAGTGGCAGCAGTGGCTTTTCCAGACCTCTCAGCCCACAGATGGGAAGGGGGGGTCAGACACCTGGTCAGAAGGAAATTCGGGGGGTCCTTTTTTTGGCACTGTGGGCGAACTCTTGCATTGCCCATACTTGGATCTGGGTCTCAATCCCAGGGTGAGGAGGAGCAAGAGCTTGTGGCTTTAGGGGAGCTGGGAGTCTGGTCATAGTTCTAAGGTAAAAAAGAGTGCTTCTGGTTGCTAACAGGCCAGGAGAGTAGTAAACACCCCTCTCCCTAGATCATACCACTTCAGAAGAACTGTAACCTTATAGGTTCCTAGAATTATCTCTGAAAACGGCTGCACAAAAAACCTAAAGCTTGGGACAGTGCACTCTGCACTGTGGAAGCAGAGCCCCACTTTAGCATAGAGTTAAAAGTCAAGAAATAGGCAGGAAAAATGAGCAAATAGCAGAAAAAGATCCTGACTGTAGAAAGTTACTATGGTGACAGGGAAGCTCAAAACACAAAATCAGAAAAAAACAAAGTTAAAACAGCTATATCCAAAACCTCAAAGAAAAATATGAATTGGTCTCAAGCTGTGGAAGAGCTCAAAAAGGATTTTAAAAATCAAGTAAGAGAGGCAGAGGAAAAATTGTGAAGAGAAATGAGAATGATGCAAGAAAATCATGAAAAAAATAATAGCTTGGCAAAGGAGACACAAAAAATCCTGATGAAAATAACACCTTAAATAAACAGAATAGGTCAAATGGTAAAAAAGGCACAAAATTCAATGAAGAGAAGAATGCCTTGAAAAGCAGAATTGACCAAATGGAAAAAGGAGGTATAATAGCTCACTAAAGAAAATAATTCCTTAAAAACTAGAATTGAGCAGGCAGAAGCTAATGACTTTATGAGACATCAAGAAATAACAAAACAAAATCCAACTCCAATGGGTTCCAATTGCCTCTACAATATGGGGGGGGGGTGGATGGACATTCATGAAATAGAGGACTTTCAAGTAAATTTCAAAAAAAAAAAAATTTTATTTTGGGCAATGAGAGTTAAGGGACTTGGCCCAGGGTCACACAGCTAGTAAGTGTCAAGTGTCTGAGGCCAGATTTGAACTCACGTCCTCCTGATTCCAAGGCTGGAGCTCTATCCACTGTGCCACTGAGCTGCCTCTAAGAATTTGACTTTCAAATATAAAACTCAAGAGAAGCATTATAAGATAAACAGGAAAGAGAAATCATAAGAAGTTTAATAAGGTTAAACTGTTTACATTTCTACATGGGAAAATGATACTTGTAATTCCTAAAAACTTTCTCATTATTAGGGCAGTTAGAGGAAGTATACATAGACAGGGGACATGGGTGTGAGTTGAATATGATGAGATGATTATCTAAAAAAAAACAATTTAAAGGAATGAGAAAGGAATGCACTGGGAGAAAGGGAAAGAGAGAAGTAGAATGGGGTAAATTTTCTGACATAAAAGAACATGAAAGAGCTTTTAAGTGGGAAGGAGAGAACCTTAGTCTTACCAGAGTGGGAATAACACACTTACTTGGGCACAGAAATATATCTTACCTTACAGAAAAATAGGAAGAGAAAGAGATAAGAGAAAGGGAGGGGCACTCATAGAAGGGAGGGTGTATTGGAGGAGGCAGTAGTCAGAAGCAAAACACTTTTGAGGAGAGGCAGGGTAAAAGGAGAAAGAGAATAGAATTAACAAGGAGGAATAGGATGGAGGGAAATATGTTTTTTAAACTATCTTTTAATTTGTTTTAATTTCAACACTCACTTTTATAAAACTTTGAGTTCTAAATTCCCTCACATCTCTTCCTCCCTCCCCAAGACTGCGTGCAATCTGATACATGCTATACATGTACCATCATATTAAATACATTTCCACATTAGTCGTGTTGTGAAAGATCAGAACAAAAAAGGAAAACCACAAGAAAGAAAAAACAAAAAGAAAAAATAGTATGCTTTGATCTGCCTTCAGACTCCATAGTTCTTTCTCTGATGTGGACAGCACTTTCCATCATGAATCTTTTGGAATTGTCTTAGATCACTGCATTGCTGAGAAGAGCTAAGTTCATCAAAGTTGGTGATTGCAAAGTTGCTGTTACTGTGTACAATATTCTCCTGGTTCTGTTCACTTCACTCAGCATCAGTTCATGCAAGTCTTTCCAGGTTTTTCTGAAATCCATCTGCTCACCAGTTCTGATGGGAACAATAGTATTCCATTACATTCATATACCACAACTTGTTCAGCCATTCTCCAATTGATGAACATCCTAAATATTTTTGTACATGTGGGTCCTCTTTCCTTTTTTATGATCTCTTTGGGATACAGACCTAGTAGTAGTATTTTGGATCAAAGGGTATGCATATCAATTGAGCATAGTTCCAAATTGCTCTCCAGAATGGTTGGATCAGTTCACAACTCCACCAACAATCAAAGTTCTAATTTTCTCACATATCCAACATTTATCATTTTCCTGTTTTGTCATGTTAGCCAATCTGATGTGGTGTGATGTGGTGCCTCAGAATAGTTTTAATTTGCATTTCTCTAATCAATAGTGATTTAGAGCATTTTCCCATATATTTATAGATAGCTTTAATTTCTTCCTCTAAAAACTGCCTGTTCATATCCTTTGACCATTGATCAATTGGGGAATGACTTGTATTTTTTTAAATTTCACTCAGTTCTATATATATTTTAGAAATGAGGCCTTTATCAGAGACACTGACTGTAAAAATTCCCAGCTTTCTGCTTCCCTTATAGTCTTGGTTGTATTGGCTTTGTTTATGCAAACCCTTTTTAATTTAATGTATTCAAAATTATCCATTTTGCATTTCATAGTGTTCTCTATCTCTCATTTGGTCATAAATTCTCCGTAGATCTGACAGGTAAACTATTTCTTGCTCTCCTAATTTGCTTATAGTTTATGTCTGAATTGTGTACCCATTTTGACCTTATCTTGGTATATATTGTGAGATGTTGGTCTATGCCTAGTTTCTGCCATACTGTTTTCTAGTTTTCCCAGCAATTTTTGTCAAATAGTGAGTACTTATCCTAGAAACTGGAGTCTTTGGGTTTATCAAACAGTAGATTACTATAGTCATTGACTACTATGTCTCGTGTACCTAACCTATTCCACTGATCCACCACTCTGTTTCTTAGCCAGTACCAAGTAGTTTTGATGATTGTTGCTTTATAATACAGTTTTAGATCCAGTAGACTAGGCCTCCTTCCCTTGCAGGGAAATACAGTTTCTTTCTGCCTCTTATTCTCTGTTGGACTTCATTGCTCTCTGCTGGGCACATCACTCTACAGGTTTCATGGTCTCTCATGGGCAATTACTCCTGCTATTGGGTTCTGAGCTTCATCTCTTCAGGGTACTCTGCCTGTCATTATGGGGTGCATGCTATGGTGTGGCAACTAGAAGACCTCGCTCTAGTAAGGGCAGTTGGACAGCTTTTTTTGTCATAGCCAAACTCAGCTAGCCAGTGCTGGGCACAGTGTCAAAATTAAAATTAAATCTTTTAACCCTTTTTCTTGAGCCAAGATCACAGTCCTTTTACCCAGAATACTACCTGGTTTAGGATTAAAAATTCCTTAGATCCATCTTGATCTGGCATGCAAATTAATTTGAGTCAAACCAAAAGGTAAAGGAGGAAACCCAAGTCATTGTTGTCTACCAATCATTTCTGGCTTTATTA